TGGGCAGGATCACCGAGGTGCAGTTGGGAGATCGACGACCGGAGTCCTGTGGGGTTAACATGTGCAAAGACCCGTTCTCTACTAAAAGTACAAGAGAAAATTAGCCGGGCGCGTGGGTGGTGGGCCGTTGTGTAGGTTCCCGAGGCTACTCGGGAGGCCTGAGGCAGGAGAGAGGCGGGGAACGCCGGAGGCGGAGCGGCTTGCAGTGAGCCGGAGATGGTGGCGGACTGCGACGTCCAGCGCTGGGCGACAGAGCGAGACGTCCCATCTTTTTTTTTTTTTATTTGAGAGGAGTCGCGCGGTCTGGTCGGCCCAGGGGCTGGGAGGTGCAGTGCTGGATCTCAGCCTCACTGCAAGCGCGCTCTGCCTCCCGGGTTTAACGCGCCATTCGTCATGCGCTCAGCGCTCGCCGAGTGAGCTGGGGCGACTACGAGGCGCGGGGGGCCCCGAGCCTCGGCGCCGGCGTAGTTTTGTTTTGTGTGGGTGTGTGTGTTTGTGTAGGTTTCTGGTTAGTAGACGGGAGCGGGGTTGTCACCCAGTGTTTAGGGCCAGGATGGTGCCTCGAAAAAAAAATAAAAATAAAAATGAAGAAAACCCTGCAGTGACGATACTATGGGTGACTGTTGGTGTCGACGTGGCTCTTCCAAAGCTGTGTATGAACTGTGGCATAAAACAGACGGATTATTTTGCTGATTTTGTGAGTATGAGAGTTTTCAGCCGACAAAGGAGATAAAAATTAAAAGTAAGGATATTAAGCTTACAAGAAAACTCCAGCTCTGAATAGAAAGCTTCAGTATGAATTTCTGATGTATGTTATATATATATTTTAAAGTGTATTTCCACACAGTCTGCTGCAAAGGTCTAGAGACAAGACCCAATCCCGTCGCCGGGAGTGCCTGTACCCAACACTGGTTTCTACATTTTACACTAAAAGGAGCCCGAGCTTTTTGGAGAAATGACTGCTTCCACATCTAAGGCAGAAATGCAGACAATGAGGCCGGAGCCTCTAGACCCTGCAGAAGGCAATAGTGATCCAAGAGCCAAGTGTCACATCTGAGGACCCAGGAGCCAGCGGGGCTCCCACACCACAGGGACGCAACATGCCAGTGAGGGAACAGAGGTGCGGCAGAGGACACCTTTCTATGCGTTCAGAATGGTTCCTTAAAATCATTAATTTGTTTTTTGTTTTTTTTTTTTGAGATGGAATCTCGCTCTGTCGCCCAGGCTGGAGCGCACAATCTCGGCTCATTGCAACATCCTCCTCCCAGGTTCAAGTGATTCTCGTGTCTCAGCCTCCCAAGTAGCTGGGATTACAGGCACCCACCACCACACCCAGCTAACTTTTGTGATTTTTCTTAGTAACAGCAGACACGGGTTTCGCCATGGTGCCAGGCTGGTCTCCAAACCTCCTGACCTCAGGTGATCCGTCCCTGCCTTGGCCTGCTAAAGTGCTGGGATTACAGGTGTGAACCAACCGTCGCCCCAGCCAACAGTCATTAGCTTATCTTTTAAGAGTGCAAGACCACCTCAAACATCAGAGCTAATACTATAAACACACAAAAAAATACTTACAAAAGAAACGCTAGAAGGCAAAAAGAGAATAAGAAACACAATCAAAGATAAGCCATAGTAAAATAAAAAAAAACAACACAAAAGAACAATAAAAAAAAAAATATAGGAAAAAGAAACAATAAAGAACAGAAAAAAAATAGAGAGAACAAAAAATACAAGTAATGGATCCAAGAAGAATAATCATAGACAAAAAAAGAAACTAGAGACAACATAGCGAAAAACCACCATCTCTACAAAAAAATAAAAACATAGGCAGGTGTAGCCTGCTAGTACCCAGCATCCGTTAGGAGGTCACATGCGATGAAATCACCTGAGCCAGGAGTCAAGGACTGCGAGTGGGCATAGTTCGCACGCCACAGCACTCCAGCGCTGGGCTAACAAGAAAACCCTATCTCAAAAAAAAAAAAAAAAAGATTCTTAGAAGAAAACAGGGACCACTTCCTGGCACCTGTTGTTGGCCAGGATGTTTCTTCGATATGAACCACAAGCAAAAGCGCAGCAAAGAAGACACTGGCAGTGGACTGGACCCCTCAATTACAGTGAAACTGCGCGTCGGACACTCTGGAGAGGTAAAACATAACGCAGGAAGTGCGAGACCGTATGGTCATTAATGCAAATCACGTATCTGGCCAGGGGTTGATATCCAGAGTATAGGAGGAACCCCATAATTCAACAACAGAAAAGTAAATAATCCAGTTTAAAAACGGAAGGGCAGGGCGCGGTGGCTCACGCCTGTAATCCCAACACTTTGGGAGGCCTAGGCGGGAGGATGGCCTGAGCCTGGGAGGCTGAGGCTGCTGTGAGCTGTGATCGTGCCATTGCCCTCCAGCCTGGGTAACAAAGTGAGACCTTATCTCAAAAAGAAAAAAAAAAAGTTGACAGAGGACTTGAATAGACACCTCTTCAAAGATATACGCGTGGCCAATAAGCGCGTGAAAAGACGCTCAGCATCATTCGTCATTAGTGAAACGCAAATAAAAACCACAGTGAGACATCACACCCATTAGGATGGCTTTTACAAAAAAAAAAAAAGGGGAAATAATGTTGGTGGGATGTGGATAAACTGAACCCTCATGCGTCACTGGTGGGAAGGTAAACAGTGCAGCCGCTGTGGAAAACAGTGTGACGGTTCCTCAAGACGTTAAACACAGAGTCCGAAGAGGATTCAGCAGTTTCACTTTTAGCTGTAAATGCAAAAAACTGAAAGCAGGAGCTCAAGCACATCCTTATCCATCCGTGTTCGTAGCAGCCACATTCAGAATAACCAGAAGAGGGAAGCAACCTGGGGCCCATCCACAGACGAATGGAAACAAAACGCGTCCATCCCGCAACGGAACGTCATCCAGCCTCAGAAAGGAAGGAGGTTCAGACACAGGCTACGGCACAGATGGACCCTCACGACACGCCGAGTGGAAGACGCCAGACGCAAACGGGCGGATACTATATGATTCCACGTCTACAAGGTACCTAGGACAGGTCAATTCATAGAGGCAGAAAGTGGAACAGTGGCCACCAGGGCTAGAGGGAGGGGAGGGGAGATAACTATTGGCTCAGAGTCGTTGTTGTTGTTGTTGTTTTGAGACGGAGTCTCGCTCTGTTGCCCAGGCTGGAGTGCAGTGGCGTGATTGCGGCTCATGGCAAGCTCTGCCTCCCGGGTTCACGCCATTCTCCTGCCTCAGCCTCCCGAGTAGCTGGGACTACAGGCGCTCGCCACCACGCCCGGCTAATATTTTTTTGTTTAATTTTTAGTAGAGACAGGGTTTCACCGTGTCAGCCAGGATGGTCTCGATCTCCTGACCTCGTGATCCGCCCGTCTCGGCCTCCCAAAGTCCTGGGATTCCAGGCGTGAGCCACCGCGCCCGGCTGGTACGGTGTCTTTGTTTGGGATGATACCGAGTTCTGGAAAGAGGTGGTGGCGATGGATATATGATATAGTGAGTGTGCTAATGCCACTGAACTGCACACTTAAAAACGGTTAAAATGGTCAATTTCGTGTTATGTATGTTTTACCACAAAAAAGGAAGAAAAAAACCAACACAGCAAGTAGCTACTTTGTGGTGATAACAAATATACACCAATATGATGAGTAAAAACAACTAATATACACCTACATGATGAATAAAAAACAAAAGTAAAAACAAACACAACTGGTAAATAAAGTAAATATACAGGACAAAAGGAAACAAGGGTCAAAGGGAAGAAACAGACTAGTTATACAGGAACTACACAGGGCTACACGGGAACTACACG